GATGAAAACGTGAAGACGTACCCAGATTGTCTTTTCCTGGTGCACTTCCAGAAAGGGACGGTGACGCTCAATGCGCTACAAGCCATCCGATCGATCTACTCCATCATCGTACGGTGGGAGCCATACCGTGGCGGTCATCGTGACGTAACGCAGTGTCAGAGGTGCCTCAATTTTGGACACGGTACCCGCAACTGCAACATCAAGCCACGCTGCAGCAACTGCGCTCAAGAACACGCCACTTCCAACTGCCCTGCGGATGGAGCCGTGGCGATAAAATGCGCTAACTGTGGTGGTGCACATCAAGGCTCTGACAGACAGTGCTCCAAACGCGAGGACTTCAAACGCATCCGAAAGCTGGCGTCAAGCAACAATCAACCAGGACGCAAGAAGGACAAAACCCCATCATTCAGGACGGAGGATTTTCCGCCTCTTCGTGCTCCCCAGCAAAGGCAAGCGAATTCGCGGGTGCAACCCGCCCCTCCTCAAGAAGCTTCCGGTGATTCTGCTGGCCAAAGCTCTCCATCCCCCCCTGGATTCTGGAGACAACCAACAGGACAAAACAACAACCCCGATCTGTTCTCAGCGGATGAACTGATGGAAATTTTCGTCAACATGTCCGGTGCTCTTCGTAAGTGCCGCAATAAGCCCGAACAGATCCAAGTGCTCGGTAAGTTCATCATCCAGTATGGCGTCTAAACCGCTAAGTACCGTCACCTGGAATGCTTGCTCTGTAAGAGCAAAAGAGATTGAGCTTGCCGACTTCCTCCGCAAGCACAGCATCGACGTGGGCCTTCTAACCGAGACCCATCTAAAGTCCGGCGACAGCTTCTGGTTGCCTGACCACAACATTATCCGGCTTGATCGCACCAGCTCCAGGGGGGTGGTGTTGCGGTCGTAGTCAAGAAAGGAATAAAATACCACACTCTGTCCCATATCCGCACCTCTATCATCGAGGCCCTTGGTGTGGAGGTGGAGTCGTCGACTGGATACGTCCAGTTCATCGCCGTCTACTGCCCTCGACAGTGTGCCGCCAGCAGTGGACTAGCGGCTAAATTCAAGAAGGACCTGTCCACCATCACCCGTAACGGTTCCCGCTTCGTCGTTGGAGGAGATCTGAATGCTCGCCATGAGGCCTGGCGGAACTACCAGCAGAACCAGAACGGTCGTCTCCTGTTCGACCACTCACAGCATGGGCTGTACTCCGTTTGGTTTTCGGATGAACCAACATTCATCTCACCCGCGGGCAACCCATCGACGCTAGACCTGTTCATGACAAATATCGGCTTGTCCAAGCCGGTAGCCTTGAACGAACTCAGCTCCGACCACCAACCGGTGGTGGCTGAACTGGGCTGCAACGTAGCTCCTGCTTCAAGTCTGCGCAAGGACTACCATCGCGTTAACTGGGCCCAGTTTGGACGCGTGGTAGACAGGCACATCATCGACAACCCGCCGCTTGACACCGTGGAGGACATCGATCGAGCGTTGGAGGGACTCCATCAAGCCATAACCGTGGCTGACGAGGCGTGCGTCCGACGAGTTCCTGTGAGGGGTAAGTTTATTGCCATTGATTCCCACACCCAACTTTTGATTCGCCTGAGAAATCTTCGTAGACGCCAGTTTCAGAGGACTGGAGATCAGGGCAAAAAACGTGAAACGGCTGATCTGAACAGACAGATTGCTTCCAGAATGGACTCACTCCGAAATGAAAGTTTCGGGCGTGTTGTCCAGAATCTGGACGACCGCTCCAGACCATTCTGGAAGGTAGCCAAGGTCCTGAAAACTCATCCCAAACCCATTCCACCTCTCAGAGTCGAAAATGATGACGATCGGCTTTTAATCACCCCACAGGAGAAAGCAAATGCGATCGGCGAGCATGTCGCTTCATCGCATTTGCTTGGCTCGAATATCCAAAGTCCGCTCGAAGTTCAGGTTGCGCAATGCGTTCAAAACCTAGATGCCTCCCCTTGTGTCGTGCCTCCGGCGGATATGATTACAGTACAACAAATTTGCTCAGCGCTGAAATGCACCAAGAACATGAAGGCTCCCGGGTTTGACGGTTTGACGGATCTTGACGAGACTCAGCATGAAAGGGCAGTCTCTTCTAACCGCTATCTTCAACAGATGCTTGGAACTGCACTACTTTCCAAGCATCTGGAAAGTAGCAAAAATCATACCCATCCGGTAAGGATCCAACATTGCCTTCAAGCTACAGACCAATCAGCCTCCTTTCAGCGCTGAGCAAATTGTTCGAGAAACTCATTCTCAATCGTTTGCTCAAGTTTGTCGAGGAAAACAACATTCTCCTACCGGAACAGTTCGGGTTTAGGAAGGGGCACTCCACCAATCACCAGCTAGTACGGGTGATGAATAACATCTGAAGTAACAAAGCTGTATCCAAGTCCACAGCCATGGCCTTGTTAGACGTTGAAAAGGCGTTTGACAATGTTTGGGATGACGGACTTGTGTACAAGCTTTGTAACTTCAACTTCCCATGACATCTGGTTAAAATCACTCGTAACTACATTCAGCAAAGGTCGTTTAAGGTATCGTTGAATGGTTGTCTTTCAGACACGTTTTCCATCCCAGCAGGAGTCCCACAAGGCAGTCTGCTGAGCCCCTTGCTTTACACAATCTACACTTCCGATATTCCTCCCCTTGGAGACGGTTGCGTGTTGTCAAAGGAAGGATGCCTCGCGAAATAACGAACAAACTTCAACGATGCCTTAACGCCTTTGCTGATTATGCCACCACGTGGAAAATCAAAATCAATGTCTCCAAAACACAAGCGATCATGTTCCTCCATCGGCAATCGCCCAAACTGAAACCGGCTCCATCTTGTACTGTAATCATGGATGGCACAAGGGTTGAGTGATCTGCTGAAGTAACCTACCTCGGGATGTTGTTCAATGAAAAGCTCCTCTTCCGTTCGCATGTAGAGAAAACTGTAGTCAAGTGTTCTACCTTGGTAAGGTGTCTGTATCAGTTGATTTTCCGCAGATCCCGCCTCTCAAGGGTGAACAAAATGACTGTCTACAAACAAATCATAGCACCTGCGATCCTCTACGCAGCTCCGGTGTGGGAATCATGTGCACAGACTCACAGGAACACAATTCAGGTCACTCAGAATAGAGTGCTGAGGATGGTTCTTGATCGTCCTTTCGAGACTAGAATAACAAATTTACATGAAGAGGCAGGCATTGCCAAAATAGATTCCAAAATAGATTCCAGAATGAACGAAATTCAAACTAAATTTGCACAAAAATGTATTTTATCAGAACATGCTTTAATAAGCAATTTGTATATAGTAGATTAGGTGTATATAGTAGTTGTAGGTTAGTTGTAGTTGTAAATAGTAGTCATAAGTAGTTTTCTTTTTCAATTTAAAACAAACCAATCCCACCAAGGTGGTCATTCTCTAAAACAGGCCTGATAGGACTAGGAACTGTAATTAATAATAATTGAAATTAAAAAAAAACTAAAGTTGAAAATACGCATCTTTGCCACTTACATGTAAACCACACAAATTCAAGAAATAAAGATCATTTAAAGTAAAAATAAAAAAAAGAATTTCTTGTCACATTCGTTTCAACCTTACCTGAAGAACCATCAACAGCATAAACAATGACTGGACGTGGCAAGTGAGGCAAAGGACTCGGCAAAGGAGGAGCTAGTTGTGTTGCATGATAACTTACAGGGTATTACCAACAATCAATACGAAACTAACGATTTTAAATTGGCTCACTACTTGACTAGCCTATTGGTCCCAAGCAAACGATTAACGTACTCCATTCTAGTCGAAATTCTAGTACTACACAATGTTTGTTTTGATTCGCTATGAAAGTTTGACAGATAAAATGAGGGGTTATTGGTTTTTCCTATGTTTCGAGGGGTGAATCGATTAGCTTGGGACCGAAGAGAGTACCAGAGCTGAGCCAGAAAGTTGAGCACGTTTCTTCGGAACCTTCTGGTCTTAGAATTACCTCTATGGTACTACCCACCACAGTGTACTCAATAGATAGCGGTAATTTTTTAGCGACGATGTTTTACAGTGAGAAATATTCAGTGTGTTATGTCTGTTTGTCTGTGATTCAACGATAAATTTTACGCCGTTGATGTTGCTGGACATTTTTTTTTTTAATTTGTGACGTAGATGCCGTGGTATCGATCTATCCTTGAAGACCCAAGCGAAAAGCCCGATCTGAGTAGGCCCAACAGTATAGAGCTTTTTGACGTTTAATCAGCGCACACTACTGCACCATTTAAATCGAACGAGTGCGAGCAAGAGGGAAACAGATTAGTGGGAAAACAAACCGTTCATTCATCCATGTGTGTCTATCTAGCACAAAGACGATTAAACGTCAAAAAGGTCTATACTTGTCGGATTGAAAACTAGTTAGATCCAAATCGACGTCGGTTAGGCATCTTGATGACATTTCTGACAACTGTAAAACTTTCCGTTTCCGGTCCGCTTCCGCCCACATTCGTCAATCGTCGCAACGTTTCAGCACGATTCGCTTCCTTTTCCAGAGAGAACAGAACAGATGTGGTCGGCCAATAATGGAGGCGGACGTGCACTCTTGGGATTTCCCCCTATTAGGGACCGTTCTTTCCAACTGATCATCCTTTGTTGTTGTTTTTTTTTATTGATCATTATTATTTTATTTACCATAAATTGTTATAGCATTTTACCAATTCGTAATATCATACTGCGTGTGTTTTTTTTTTCTATGTGTATGCACGTCATGCATGCTTGTGTGTTTATGTATTGTTGATGGTGATGGTGGTGGATCAAAAAACATCAGCGCCGTATGTTTCCTACAACAAATTGTCAATAACACCATACACACAAGGGAGCGTGGACAGGGGAGGGGAGTTCCTACGCTCTGATGCCAAATGCGCTAATTCGGCCTTTGCGCTGTTATTTGTTTTAAAACCGGGGGGATGGAGGATTCTAATTGTGTTTGTCTGTTTGAAATATTCGTTCGAGTTGGTGGTCTAAAGGCTGCTATTGCGGTTTGCGTTGCTCTTGCATTATTTGTTGGTTATGTTTTCTGCTATTTATTTTTTTTTTATTTCGTTTGGACTAACGTGGACTGCTGAGATTTCAATGTTCGCATTGCAATGACATTTGAGTTGTGTTTTTAAAATGTTCGTGTTTATCCTAGTTTACTTGGTAGCGCGGACAGATTGGCGTGTTCTATTCGTTTGTATTTGTTTTTACTTCTTGCATCTAATATGTCTTTAAATGTGTCTGTGTGTGTATGTGTTTATGTAACTTTTATACTCCTTTTTGTTTATCAATTTAATAGTAAAATTCCGCTTTCGCTTCGATTTGTTTAATTACTTTAAATGGCCGTATTCTTGTTTTGAGTTGGGGTACAGGAGAATTTGTTTAATTATGAGATATATACTTGTTTACGCATTTGTTTTGTTTTTGTTTTTGCATCTCTTTGTTTGTATCTTTTTTTTGCTAGGGGTATAAAAATATAACGTTAAAGGATGAAGGGGAAACTCAGCGGAAGAAGGGTGTCTTTTTCTCCTTTACATCTCATCCATATTTTAGGAAATAGTTGCTAGACTTAAAAACGAATTCCCAATTCCGTGCGGAAGAAAAAATCGGGTCAAGAAAAAGAAATATACAACAGCTACACTTCAAACCTACCGCTAGTGGATGCTTTTCTGTGTTGAGTTAAAACCTACCGTTCTAGATTACCGTTGGGTGTGGACTCTCTTTCCTCTCCGTGAATGTTTCCTTTATTATTCGTGGAATCTTATCTCAGCTACTGCTCTGTTGACTTGTTAATTAATGTAATTAATTAAAGACAGAAGGTTTCGAAATGATTCTGCTCAATAAAGGTTATTCAAATGTACAAAAACCAAAAAAAAAAAAATTAGGTTAACATATACGAATCGTAATTGATGCGGAAAGTTCCTATATGCCTTGAGCGAAAAAATAAAACAGAGAAACAAACTTTACACTTAGATGAAAACTTAAAGAAACAAACAGGAAAAAGAACGTACAAATCAAGGCGTACTATGCTAGTCTCGAGGAGTGCGCAGCTGAAAAAGGAATTCTCAAATCGTTCGCCAGACGTCATCGGTTGATCTAACTAAGTAGGCGGACGACTTGAAAGGACTTTTTCGCACTCGGAAAAATGTGAATCTTAAAACTCGTTCATCATTTTTGTTTTGTTTTCCATTATTTGGCTATAAACTGTGTGTATGTGTGCTAATGAAAACAACTAGAAGGCGAGTGTCTTTGCGTCGTCATCTACATTAGCGCGGTTTTCTTGTTTTTCGAATCGTTTTGAGCCTGCTCTCACTCGTTTTTTCTTCATCGTTCATCGGTCGGTTTAGCAATGTGTTTGGGTGTCTGGGACGATGTATTGCACGTGTATTGATGTGATTTCTATCCATTTAAGACGAATTCGACGAACGCGCATTTGAGAATAGTATAAAAATCTCTTAAGCAACCGTTTGAGCGTGTATTTTTGTTTTCTTTTCCTTCGTTTGCTAGGTTAGAATAGTTGCTTAATTGCTTGATTTTTCGATTTTACTGCGTCGCGGGACGAAATAAGCTTCATGTTGAATATAGGCCTGCTCTTGCGATCGTAAAATGCGTTTTTTTTTTGTCTTTATGTTTGTCAGTTTGTATATATGTATATGTGTGTGACAGAGTGCTGTGTGGAGTAGTATCTATCTAGAACATTTACGATGCGCATGGTTTCTACTGACTGTTTAGTCGATTTACCTTGGGGACGGCACCGACGATTCGGACCCGTTTGCAGTTGGGATTGTGACCGCCGACCAGCCCTGCAGCCGAATGGTGCTGATGCTGGTGATGGTGGTGGTGATGTTGCTGTTGCTGTTGATGATGTGGTTGCTGGGGTGCTCCAGCGACCGAATCGCAAAATTCAGCCGGTGGAGGAAGCACCATCGCCACCCCAACCCCATCGGTGCCATCCACGGGCAGGGCACCGGAATCGGCTTCATCCGAGTCGGCTTCGATCGGCGGTGGCAGCGTTGCCAAAGTAACGGCGTGCCGCTGTTGAATGTTTTGCTGATAGGCTTTCGCACGGTTTGCTGCGATCGTTGCCGCTTGCTTTCGCGTGAGTGAATTGTGCCGCTGGAAACCTGTGGCTGGCGGACTGGGACTCTGATCATCGTCGTCATCGTCACTACGGACGGCCGGAACCTTCGCCGTGATCATGACGGCGATCTTTTTCTGCTCCAGCAGTGATCCGACCTTCTTCGGATCGATCGTGGGCGCCGAAGCCTTGGCAGCCGGAACGTCATTGCATGTCACTGTGACTTCCTGATCGCTGCTCACTCCGGATGAGCTGTTATCGCCGTTGTCTTCGTTGGCCTGATTGCCGCCACCCCCAGCTTGCTGGTTCTGCTGCCGCAGGAAGTCATTCGGGTAGGATTTGGATGACTTCAGCTTGGTGCGGATCTTCTGGATTTCGTCCACCGAGAAGGAGTGCGGGATCGAGCTGGAACCGGAACTGCTACCACTGAAAAGATTAATCGAATGAGCGTTCAACCGCTTCCAAGAGCTGCCCCCTCCAATCCTTACCTTGTATTACTGTTTCCGCTGGTTTCGGCAGCCATGCCGGGGTTAATGGTTGCGGCCCCGCCGCCAATGGAAACCTTACTCGATCCGTTCAGCTCCGCCGCTGCTGGGCCACCGTTGACCTTTTTGAGATTGCTCCTGACCAACCGGACCGAGTTGTCCTCTTCGGCGTCCGATTCGCTCAGGCTGTAGTCCGGATCCGGCAGCGGAGGCCCGGAAGATTTGTACTGCTGCTGCTGCTGCTGCTGCTGTTGCTGTTGCTGATGATGATGCTGAGGTTGTGCCGTCTGCTGCATAGCCGCAGGTCGACCAGGTTGCGCATACGGATTGCTGCCTCCACCAAGGCCTCCATCGGCAACTCCTCCTCCGCCGACGACGCCACCGCCGCCGCCTCCTCCTCCTCCGCCTCCGATGGTAACGGTGGTCACGTTGATTGCACTGCCCGTGCTCGAGTTCGACCGGATTGATGAAGTTTTGCGGATCTGTTTGGGGCGAGAGTGGAATGGTGTTGAGAATTCGACATTTCAAGAAGACTGGCAGCTTTGATTAATCTTGGGACAGACTCCAAGGGACTGATACAGTAGGGACGTAGGATTTTAGGGTGACCGGCCATCTAGAAAAATACCCTACAAGGGGGAGGGGGACCAAAGTTGGTGCTTCTTGTAGAATTCCATTCTTAAATTCTTGCAGATTTCCATTCCAAAATTCTTGTAGAATTGCATTCTTATTTTTTATAGAATTACAATCCGAAATTCCTTGAGAATTCCATTTAGATTTTTTTTTTGGAGAATTCCATTCCAAAATTTTTGTGGAATTCCACTCCGGAATTCACGAAGAATTCAATTTCAGAACTCTTGTAGAATTTCATTCTTAAATTCTTGTAGAATTTCATTCAAAAATTCTCGTAGAATTCCGTTCCTAAGTATCCTAATTTCTTATAGAATTACATTCCAGAATTCCTTGAGAAATTAATTCTGGGTTTTTTTTTGGAGAATTCCATTCCAGGATTCTTGGAGAACTCCACTCCGGTATTCATGAAGAATTCAATTTCAGAATTCTTGTGGAATTCCATTCTTAAGTTCTTGTAGATTTCCATTCCAAAATTTATATAAAATTCCATTCCTTATATTTCTTATAGAATTACATTCCAGAATTCCTCAAGAATTACATTCTGGATTTTTTGAAGAATTCAATTTCAGAATTCTTATTTCTATTCCAAAATTCTTGTAGAATTCCATTCCTTATTTCTTAGTATTCCATTCCAAAATTCCTTAAGAATTCCATTCTGGATTTTTTGGTAGAATTCCATTCCAGAATTCTTCTAGAATTGCACTCCGGAATTCATGAAGAATTCAATTTCAGAATTCTTATTTCTATTCCAAAACTCTTGTAGAATTCCATTCCTTATTTCTTAGAATTCCATTCCAGAATTCCTTATGAATTACATTCTGGATTTTTTTGTAGAATTTATTCCAGAATTCTTCTAGAATTGCACTCCGGAATTCATGAAGAATTCAATTTCAGAATTCTTTTTTCTATTACAAAATTCTTGTAGAATTCCATTCTTTATTTCTTAGAATTACATTCCAGAATTCCTTAAGAATCCCATTCTGGATTTTTTTTGTAGAATTCCATTCCAGAATTCTTGTAGAATTGCACTCCGGAATTCATGAAGAATTCAATTTCAGAATTCTTATTTCTATTCCGAAATAATTGTAGAATTTCATTCCTCATTTCTTATAGAATTACATTCGAGAATTCATTAAGAATTCCATTCTGGATTTTTCGTAGCATTCCATTCCAGGATTATTGTGGAAATCTATATTCCAGAATTCTTGTATGATTGCATTCCGGAATTCATGAAGAATTCAAATTCAGAATTCTTGTAGAATTCCTTTCTTAAATTCTTGTAGATTTTCATTCCAAAATTCTTGTAGAATTCTTGTAGAATATACTCCAGAATCTCGCCTAGGTCCATGGTACTCAATATGCCCGCCAACCATCTTATTTCGGAATTCTCATGTGATTGAGGCAGGTGGGGGCGAGCATAAGTCAACCTTTTGCGGTTACCTTGAAGATGCCTGCGATAGGCCACACGACTCACCTCGGTGCTGGTACTGCTATTGCCGCTGCTGCTATTGCCGCTACTGCTGGAAGCCACGCTCGTCGTCCGGTAGCCCACGTTCCGGATGTCCTGCGGCGAAGCGTACAACTTCGCATTGGAAGCCGGCTTGAAGCTGGACATGATTTCCGCCTCCTGAATCTTCGAACGCTGTTTGGCCTTCTGCTGGATGTGCTTCTGCAGTGCGGTGAGACACTCGTACTCGGAGCCCCGCGAGATGTCCACCTTGACGACCTGGCCGATCGGGGGCGGAGGCGGCGGGTGATTTGGTGGTGGGAGATTCAGTCTTTGCATCGACATGTGTATGCTGTGCATATCGTCTTGAGATCGGTGTCCCTTGTGGCCGACGGTGTTGAACCAGCTGGCCGAGGGCGTCAACGTTCCGGCACTGCCGGTGGCCGAAGCCGTTCCGCTCGAGGCCAGATCGGGTGTACTGTGGAAGGTACGCTTCAGATCGGACCCGACCTGCGGAATCGGAATGGGGCGGCCCTTGAGTGTACCGATCTTGGATGACTTTTTGCGCTTCATTTCCGCCACACTGGCGTACACGATTGGTCCCTTCTGGGGAGAGGTGGGAGGCGTCGCGGCGCCACTGTCAAATCCGGACTGGAACCGAGAGCTGGTCATCAGCATCGAGCATCGATTCGCGTCGACTCCTTGCTGTCTTTGGAAGAGTTCTTCCAACTCGGCAGCCGTAATTCGACTAGAGGTGGGCCGCGACTTGATACTCGCCGTTCTCGGCTGCACCGGAGTTCCCGGTCCCCCTTGCGTCGGTGTACTGATGGCCGATTGCGAGTGCTGATGGATCGACTCCACCGAGGTGGACTTGGCCTGGTGAGGAGTATCCTCGTCGTCCTTCTCACCACCGCCTTCCAACCCGGCGACCATCGATTTGGCACGTGCTCGTCCTACGCTAAGTGTTGTCTTTGGATCTCTTCGTGGTGGCATCGGGGCAGGTAGCTTACAACCGGCCAAACTGGCCGGTCCTCCGTTCATCCGTCGTGGCAGCGTCGAACATTGGCGTGACGACGATACCGGAGTACTCATACCGGAACCGGAATGTTGACTTCCATCGCCGACGGAACTGGAACCGGCAGCGATCACATTTTCCAACATCGAATTGACCAGGTTATGCGGAAGCGTGACCACCATCATCGATACGAGCGAACCCGAATTGCGAATCAGATCGACCACGTGCTCGTGCGAAGCACACGTGACGTCTTCGTTGTTAATCTGCAAAAGGGAAATGGTTTCAACGGGTCATCTGGTTTAAAATCACCCTACAAGATACTTACGGCAAGCAAGAAATCACCCGGCTTCAGTCCGGCCATATCGGCCACACCGCCCGGGTCCACGTCGTCCAGATACTGCAGAGCCGGACATCGCGGCGACGGCTTGAGCTGCATCAGCGGGGAAGAAGCTTTGGCGCCACGCAGGATGAATCCGAAACCGCGTTTCGCTCGATGCAGAACCACCGCCCGGGGTTCACCGGTTACACTGAAAGATCGATTAGGTTGGATCAAGGGGTTCAAGGATTCTAGGTTTATAGATGAAACACTTACGCTTTCTTCATCCTCGGTGCCGTCTGGCTGTTGTACTGTTGCTGCTGTTGCTGTCCCGGGTGTTGCTGCAGCAGCTGCTGCTGCTGCTGCTGTTCCAGAATCTCGTTACTGCTGGTGTTGATCACGTACAGATGATGCGGCGTCGAAGTCGACACGTTGATAATACTCTTCTGCCGGAACTGAACCTCCTGGACGCAATGGGCCGGGAAGAAGCCGGTCTTGTTGGTTCCGCGCACGAAACCCTCCAGCAGGCCGCAGTCCGTCGATCCGACCACTTCTATCACATCGCCCGGCTGGATCTGGATGTGCCCGGACAGGCCACCGTCGTAGCCCTCCATGCAGACCACGGTCGTGCTGGGGTGCCCGATCGAGCAGGCAGCGGAATCGGAATTGGTACCGACGCCGGACGAATCGCTGATGATGTCGCTCGTGTCGCCGAGACTCTTGTCTGAATGGAAACGGTGGAAGAATGGGTCAGTTTTTTGTGTGTTTTGCTTGATCATGCAGTGATCGTGTGACCGGGGCTGATGAGCGATCGACGCCCACGGGTCATTAAGTAGAAAAGGGAGCGTGTTCGATAATTGGGGCACGTGGCACTTGTTTAATGTGAGTTGGGGGCCGACGATTAATTACACTGTGCAGCAAAATTGCATTCGGAAAAAATCCGAAGATGTGTCAACTTTAACAAGAAATTTAGTTTAGGAATGGCCTCAGTTAACTAAAGAAGATTTTTGACGAATTCAAAAATTGCGAACCAAGCGAACTTTAAAGAAGTACAATGAGACGTGTGATCTCAATTGAATAGAGTGTCTTTAATCGTTAAGAAGTAAATATTTTGCTGCACAGTCTGCTCATTTATTTTGTTTTACAATTCAAGAACAACACGAGAAAAGGACATACAAGCTTTTTGTAAACAAACCTTTTTATGCCCTTTTCTCGCCACCCATATGACATCAACGCAAACCATTAACATTAGCGGGTAGGGGAAGCTTTCCCCTTCCCGATGATGTTGTTGGTTTGCGTGGGCGACCCTCGGTTGGCGAGAAAAGGGCATACAAAGGTTTGTTTACAAAAATCTTGTATGCCCTTTTCACATGTGGCTCTTGAAATAGTTTAATGTTGTTCTATATTTAAAAGGTTGTATGGAATTGCATTCAGTTACTCATGTCGTTGGAATCGGTTAATTGCTTTCTGTGTATATTTTTTGTATTAACAGTAACAATTCGTTAAAAATGTATTCAGAGAATGAAGGAAAAAAAATAAGAACATGAGCATGATCGAGTTAGAGTAAAACATTCACAAAAATGTCATATTGTTAGTTACTAAAAAAATACACGTAAACCGTACGAACAGCTAACAATGTACATGCACTAGAGGAAAAGTAACAATGCTCATTCAAAGATTTCAAAGAACAAAAACAAAAACTGGCAGCACTGCATCTTTTCACCTTCACCACTGTCTTCCCGTCCCGCAATGCATCTTCTATCGGTCTATATATTGTTCGTTACCACCCAACCGCACACTTACCTGTCACGATGCTAATGTCATCCTCGTGGCTCCGGTGGCTGGACGATCCCTCCGAGAGGCTCGAACTGGCCGAACTGAACGGGTGATGCTCGGACGGACAGGGCGACGGTGGACCACCGTAGATGCGGGACAGCGTCGAACCCCAGCCCAGCCCGGAACGGCGCCGCGGGTTGTACCGAGGGGGACCACGGAACGGGACTGCAGAGAGTGAATGCATTTGGTTTGCGGTGTTTATTTATCGGTTCAAGAAACTTGGCGCTCGATCATCATCATCGTCATCATCATCATGAAGATTGGGACACAGTAAGCTTTGATAAAATGGCTAGGGAAAGATGACTGCGATCGCACAGCCATCTGTGGTCGCATTTTTTGCGTGTGATTCCATTCCGGAGATATTATGGGAAAGCGAGAGATAAGTGACACACGTGACGCGCGGCTGGGCTGTTGCTCGATTATGAATTAATTGCCCGATGTTTGATTCTTCAAGTAGAAAAACTTCACGCGACGGAGCGTTTTATCGTTTTCTGCCAAACGGTTGACTAAGTATACACATAAATACAGGTGGCGTGTTTTGCAAAGTTGTGTTCAAGTGCTTTGGGAAACAAGTGACAAATGGGTGACATGGCGAAAAAGCGTGTGTGTCGAGTAAACGGGTATAGTCGAATGTGAGTCATATATGGAAGAAACACGATGTGAGTCTCGTGATTTTGATAGAATTTTAATGCAGTTACGGATTTCACGCCAACTCGACCTGTGGTTGGCAGCACCCTCCCAGATTCCAATGAACCTTTGTGGGTGTAAGGATTTCATCTACTTCAGCAATTTTGCATACTTATTTTTCTTGAAAAAATAATCTAGAATATCATTTGAACAGGTCGGAACTATTTATAAAACAAAAAAAAATAATAAGACATACAAAAATGTTGTCCAAAAGTCATTATCATTCCTACACTGAAAAAAATAAATTAAAGACATTTTTTTCCAAATATGTCATTTGTTATTCTAATTTTTCCGTGTTCTCAGCAGAGCAGTTGCTATGTCAATCATACAAGGTCTGGAACAACAGGCAGCTTGCTGGTGTTAGAAGCAAAAATGTTGTAAACATTGCTGAACAAGAGAATGACGATGTCACGGCAGCACAACATTCCATACTGCGAATGGCAGACGTGTCGTCACAGAAAATAGCTGTTTCGTGTAAAAAGATAAACATTGCGATGAAATACGAACACCACTAAACATTTCCACATTTCACTAATACCAATAAGCCGGTTGGGCCAGACCTTATATAATTGACATCGGAGCAGTTCCACCACCGAGTAAAAAAAAGTAGCTTCTGTCACGTTGGTTCGTCGGTAGTTCCACGCCAACTGACGAATCGATATTGTTTTTCCCTCTCATAATTCCATAAAACTTCGTATAATTGTTCACTAGGGGCAATGAACTAAGTTTGTGCCGGAATTCAACCATTTCTAATTTTTCAAAATGGCTTTTTCGATATTGCAAGAAAATTAAATCATTGCAAAAAAAAACGATAGACTAATTGATATGATTTCTGAGATAAAGTTGTTGGAAAGTGGATTGCCTTTCAGAAAAAAAAACTCACATATTTTCGTAAAGATTAAAAAATGGATAAAACTTCAATAGCAAAAAAGTACATTTTTAAGATTTATAAACTTTATTTCAAAACTTATCAAAAATGCCAAATTTTTTGATTTCGCAGACGTCATTTTGATGAAATATCACATTTTCAAGTTATGATTGTGTTCCTTCATACCGATGGATTTTGCAACGCGCCACAGATGACGACAGATGCAGTGAAGAAATGTATAACACTGAACTAAATTTATAGTAATTTTTCTTTTGCTATTTGTGTTTACTTCCATTTTTTGATTTCCTTCGTACACATCTTTTTGTACCTTTCTAAAATCAACCAGAATAAACAAAACGTTCTTGTACAGTCCGCGTGTTTTTACTACGTCTCGACATTTGGTCCTAAGGCTGTGTTCCATTTGGTGAATTTTTACTTAAATTTGACAGATGGAAAATTTTCAAATAAACCTGCTATTCCAGCAGTCTTATTTCTGACAGACAAGGAATCAATTTTGACAGACGCTTTCTCGAAAATCGGCCGATCAACAACAGAGGGATTTTCGAACATCTTAATTTATTTTCGAAGTGTCAAATCTAAGTGAAAATTTTCCAAATGGAACACAGCCTAAGTCGCCGGATTTTCGAAGTATTTTCGCGTATTCTCGGTCGATTTATACGATTTGCACGGTTCATGGTCGGAAGTGAATGCATACTCCTGTGAAAGATCCGGATTGGGAGGTGTTCAGCACACCAGTCGGAGAACAGAAGCGGGTACAGGCAAAAAACCAGCGGAAAAAGAAAATGGCGGAAGAATTTCAAGCTCTCGTCCAGCAGCGAAAAGCCGTAAAAGGCAAGGTTATGAGAATCAAGAATGTGCTACAACGGGCTGAACAGAAACATACTGTTTCAGATGAATTTCTACTACAAACGCATCTCAAAACGGTTGACGCTGCTTACGAAGAGTTAAGGTAAATCCTTCCAGAATAGGATTTACGCTCTATTACCAGGAAATACTGAAGAACAGGAGGCAAAGTAGTCGAGTTCGAGGATCTGCATAACGAGGTGAGAGCAGCTGTATGCAGATTGTTAGAAGCGGTCAAACGTGAAGCAAACATCGTTCCTGCACCATTACCTGTTCAGCAACAGGCAGTACGAGTTCAATCATCGTCGCTGCTTCACACCCCGCTGCCAACGTTTGATGGCAAGGCTGAGAATTGGTTCAAGTTCAAGGCCATTTTCACCGATGTCATGAACAAGTACCCGGGGGAATCTGATGCTACGAAACTCTACCACCTTGACAAGTGTTTGGTTGGTGATGCTGCAGGAGTAATCCACCAGAAAACGATCAACGGCAGCAATTTCAACACAGCTTGGCTTTATCTCCCGCAGCGGTTCGAGGACAAACGAAAATTTGTGGACATACACGCAAATGGTTTGCTCAACCTCAAGGCGATGACAGGTGAAAGCGGAAAACAATTGCGCAACTTGGTGGAGGCACTCACAATCCACGACTACGAAGTGCAAGGTGTTTCGGAAGTTTTACTTGTCAACATTTTGGCTTCGAAGATGGATTGGGAAACACGGAAGCTTTGGGAAGGCAGTATCACGCACGGAGGAATTCCAACATACGAAGAAACGACTACGGTTGCTGCAAAACAGAAGAGGCCTATCGGTACTACTACTGCGATGAAAGTTTCTCCAATGAAGGTGTCATCTCTAGCGGCATCGGTGGATATCCGGTGCAACTTTTGTGATGAGTTTCATGCGAGTTCTTGAAGCTGGGTCCGAACCTGTCCGAACGAGCGTTTTGAGAAAGCAAAGCAAGCAAAAGTTAGCTACAATTGTTTGAGGAAAGGGCATAACACAGTGCGATGCTCTTCTGCTATGTCGTGCAAAGTCTGTAAAAAGCGGCATCATACTACGCTACACATGAATGTTGCTACTACGACGGGTGTTGTGAATCCGCAGACGTCTACGCCAGTACAGAACCTATCTCAGGATACCAACGCAAGCGATTCCACATCGAATGTTAAAGCCAGCAATTCCTCGACGTCCACAATCAGTGCATCTTGTGTTACTCATCGTCAGCGAGCGCTACTGTATATGGCGATTGTGTATATTGTTGGCAATGGTGAATCTACTCACAGAAAAGCTAGCGGGTTTGCTGCAATTCAAACGACAGTCGGTGGATGTCAAAGTTATTGGTGTTGATGGTGCTGCTACGAGGGTAACTACGATGGCCAACGTCACCATTCAAGCAAGAGGCAGTGGTTATGCGAGTGAAGTTGAGTGTCTGGTGATAAACAGTATCACTGGAACTATCCCATCGAGTTGCATCGACATTTCTATCTGGCCGATACCACCTAGTCTGCATTTGGCAGATCCGGGATTTAATCGCCCTCAGCGATTGGACATGCTCATAGGCATTGGACACTTCTTCGGTCTCCTGAAATCAGGTAATGTCAAGCTTGCTGACAATTTACCGTTCTTACAAGACACTGTGTTCGGATGGGTCGGATCGGTCGGAAGACTCGTTGATTCTACAGCCTGGAACTACAAGATGGTCCGTTGCAATGTGGCGGGTCAAGGACCAAACTTGGACAAGCTGATTGAGAAGTTTTTGGGAATCTGAAGAAGTTTCTACAACTACGAAAAAATGTCGCCGGAAGAGGTGGTATGTGAGGACTACTATACGCAAACTATTACGAGGGACTCGAGCGGACGATATACTGTGAAGCTACCATTTCGAAGCAATGTGAATCAACTAGGTGACTCGAAGCATCACGCTCTGTAACGGTTTACCTACCTCGAGTAGAAATTGAGCAGAGATGCGGAACTCAAGAAAGCGTTTTATGAATTTGTTGAAGACTGCATTCGGCTTGGTCATTGCCGAGTTCTGAACGAAACGGAAGACATATCGGACGGTTACTTTCTATCGCATCATGCTATACTGAAACCTTCGTCATCTACCACGAAGTTACGCACTTTATTTCACGCATCTGCGAAGTCTACTTCTGGTCTATTCCTAAACGACACGCTTATGGTGGGGCCGACCATACAAAATCCTCTCGTTGATATATGCGTACGGTTTCGAATCTATCCCGTCGTTTTTACTGGAGATGTTTCGAAAATGTTCAGGATGATTGCAGTGAGCCTTGAGCATACCAAGTTCCTGCGTGTTTTCTGGAGATCCAACCCTTCCGCTCCGTTGATGATTCTCGAGCTTACTACAGCAAAGTACGGTACGGCGTCAGCACCATACTTGGCCACTCAAACTTTGAAGCAGTTACTACAGGACGAAGGACACGCATTTCCAAGGGCAGCCAAAATACTGGAGAACGATTTTTACAACTACGATGTGTTGTCAGGAGCCGATAGCTTGGAAGAAGCTACGGAAGTACGAAAGGGAGGTTTTGAACTACACAAGTGGTGCTCGAATTCTCCAGAATTGCTAGCATTAATCCCAGAGGATCTTCGTAAAAAGCAGGTGTCATTCGAACAACACGGAGTCAACAATGTGATTCGAACGCTTGGCTTACTTTGGAACCCGTCAAACTACCAATTGAGGTTCCATATAGAGCCAGATGACCATTTGCAACTGGTAACGA